TTGTCGAGTGCGTTATTGGCTATTGCTTTACGATTTTCATTTACAGTCTGTTGTCGAAATATATTTACCTGTCTTAGGCAGATTTGTAATGTGGTGTATAGAAAGTGACAGGAATATGATATTAACGAGTACAGTTTTGTTCTATTTCTATGTTAAGACTTGCGACTGCAGTTTTTTCTAAACCACATATTGAGACAACAGGGGGTCATATAGGTGTCATTTAAAACTTTTAGAACAGTCGACGACTTTTGTCGCCTGGCCGTAGATCAAGTATGCGCTCATTAACGCTGGCGACTTTAGTCACCGACACAACCAGGCACACTAAATAATATAATTAACAAAGAACAGAGCCACTGCACTGAAGTAAATACTAAAGGAAGTCACTCTGCATGATAGCTAGACGTTTGTTAGTTGATAAACCTCTATGAAGTTTTAAAGTGTGTTTCTTGTGCTGGGAAGGTTGTTCTTACGTGTGTATGGGTTTTTTTTTAAATTCTACCCTGGCTTCAGCGTGCCAAACTGGTGCGGTACTCGAGGGGTTTTCTTTATAATTAATGAGCCCTCGGTACTTTAAGTGAGGGATATAGTCGTGAAGTCAAATCCAGGACCTCTGGTAAATGGGAAAGTGAATTCTGGTGAAAAACCGTTAGTCGGTGGTTGGCGGCAGCCACACTCCTTTTTTTTCTTGTAGAGGGTTTTACGACGCTCGCAACTGCATAAGGTCATATGAGCGCCAATGGGTGGGTGTCAACAGAGAAGTCCTTACAGGGAATCAGACTTACTCTGCTCACCCCTGTAGCTTCAACAGCACAAGGTCTGCTTCGACTATCAAAGCACCCCGGAAATAGCGTGTCAAAAGAGTGAGACAAACATACAAAAGAAGTAGAGGAAAATGACAATAGTAAGGATTAGGAAAGAAAAAGCAGCAGTACCCTGTTCAGATCAGGCACAGTTATGAGCGTAACATGATGAATCAGCCCATTAACAATTCTACTGTGCTTGAACGAGATTTGTCCCCCCTTTGGGAATGGCCTAAAGACACTACAGTCAGTGGCACTGCCCCAGGGGGGGGGTGAGCCACACTCCGGTGTAGTTTGCTCCTTCTTTCCTATCAAATACTTATTGCTATTACTTCTCTTCCTTGTCTTTGCATGCTACTCTTTAATGACACCTCTAATCTTTGGCACTAATATGACCTATCTATGTTGCAAGAGTCCTAAAACTCGTGTTAAATTCAAAATCAAAAACTATTTTTTTAAAGATACACTCACTTTCACACACACACACACACACACACA